CTGCTCTGGGAGTACTTCCCTTACTCACCTTTATTTATGTACTTCAGAGACACCAAGAGCTGGAAACCTAAATGTGTCTAACTGCAAAGAAAACTTTTATATGAAGATAAACAGGAACTGGAGTTACAGTACGGCATAAGTGGAGGGGGTGTGTGTGCGCATGTTCTTGTGTTCTGGGACTTCTTAAAAGAGAAATAGCTATTTGCCATTCTTTCGAGGTTGAGCAGAATGCATTTCCAACTAAAAATAAGCCAGTCTTTTGGTATGTAGGTTTTTTTTTTGTACCTCTAGGTAGCCAAATGTGTTTGTGCTTCTCAGTGTTAGTATCTTATTTTCAAAGGAGAGGTTCTGCCTCATTTCACAATGGAAGCAGCATCTTCTATATATTAATGTCTTTGCAGTTAATTGAAAACTACTCTGAGGCATTTTTAAATATACACTAACACGTGAATACATTTGCCTGCTGTCATCTTTAATAGCATGGGGTAGTGTTTTGATTATTGAAGATCCTTGTTTCTTGCTGCGCAACCTTCTGTGAACATACTACAAATTTACTCACACCTTACTTTAACTTGTTTCATGACTTATTTCATGGTCAGCTTTTCATGGGATAATATTCCCATTATGCATATTCTGGGTTTGTTTTATAAACAGACATTTGAGTACAGAATATTGTACAAGGCTACAGGAGACTAAAATGGGAATCTACATCCATATAATATTCTCCACTGGTACCCATCAGTATCACTGCTGACAGTTTACAAGAAATGCTGAGTTTTTCTGTGTGTGCTCTGTAAATAAGGAAAATGCTGTGTGCATATGGATTTTCTTTTATCTTGGCATTTCCTCCTGTTTCACAGTTATTAGCTCTTCAGGTGTTACAGCACCTGCTCAGAAAGTTAGGGGACATGACATAATTACTTCAGCTATTATTATTATATGCTCAAATAGACAGGCCCCACAGTACCACAGTGCCCCCTAAAAGTAGATAAGGGTATAGATGTCAAGTTTAATCCAAATGAATCGAGCTTCCTTTTCTCACCACTGCCTTCCATGGACATTGCTTTGAATTGTTCAGGATCCAAATACACATCAGCCTAAGTTGAGATTTGTGATGGGATCACAGCTCACAATGGCATGGCTGCACATAGTGCTCAGTGTTCATTTAGAATTGTGCTGTGTTTTTAAGCCACAGTTTTAGTCTGTAATGTTCAGAATAACAGTTCAACTGTATTTACTGTAGTTTCAAAGTTATTGCCTCCTGCACTTTCTGCTTTATACAGAAATGGATTGTTGTTGTATTACTTTTTCTGCTATAGAAAATACTTACTCGGAATGTTTTGAAGTGGCAGAGTGCATAAAATTGCACTTGCTTTTCACCTGTGATGCCCAGACTCGTGTTCAGTTTGTCACCAGTGCAACAAGTTAGGCACTGCCCAGCTGATACCTTGCATCACCCTCAACAGCGTGCCTGAAGAGGAGCTTCTGCTGGTCTGGTAGGGAGTTACTGCAGATGCAGATTGAAATGCTTTTATGAACATACAGGCACAGGCATTGGAAAGCCTGTGCTCTCTGTGGCTTTCAGAGCAATGCCACATTGGATTTCATTTTATATTTACAACTGACTATAAACTGGAAAAGGCCGAATTCTTTCTGTGTAGAGTCTGGAGCAGGAGGTGTTCTGTTATTAGCTTTATTGATAAAAAGTCTGTATGTGTTATGAAAATTGAATAAGCCATTTTATGAAACAGTTGCTAACAAGTACCATGATCAGAGAGATATGTATGGAGTTAAATTGTTAGATAGATATGTACTTATTTTACTTGCAGCTCACAATATTTGTTCACCATGATCATACTAATGTTTGGCCTTAGAGAATCAAGCTGGTATAAACAGACTGCAACTTGTTTGCACCTCAGGGAACAAGGCAGAGAGAGATGAGCAGGAAGAGTTAACAGGCGCACCACACACTGCACTGAATGCAGTAGCTTAGTGGAGGGGCACACACATGGGTGTGCAGACTTCTGCCCATCCTTCTAGCAATTCTGTTCAGGCTGGGTTTGGCAAGGGTTTGGCATCCGGTGTTCAGGAGTGCATGTCATTCCTCTAGGAAACCATCTCCCACTGAATTTACTTGCTTATGCAGTACATGTGAGCTTGTTAACTGTAAAATTTGAACTTCTGGGGCAAATACATCCTTAGAATGATTCCTTTGAATTTAGTGAAGATGACCAAGTGTACTTAAGGTATATTTAAACAGAATGTAAAAAAACCCTGGTAAATATCTAGCTTGTCTTTACCCTGACAGAAAAATTTCTGGCAGTATTCTAGCTTCTTAGTGCTTTTCTAGCACCTAAATTAGAATTAAGACAAGTTTATGATTTCCTTTATTTTTTCTAAGTAATTTCTTATTCAAAGAAAGGCACCAAGAATCCCAAATCTGAGCTGTAAAAATTCAGTTCCCCAATACTTTAATGGCCTTGTGTTACAATCAACTGTTGACCTTGAGTCCCTAAAGGATTTAGAGTAATTTAATTAGTATGTAATTACACCAAGCTCTTAAAATATGCTTGCACCCAGTTTCCTGAGTGTGTAGCATGGGTCACTCCTTTATGCATGTCATTGACCCTTATCTATAATAGATTCCTGTAGAGAAATCTTGACGTGTTCCATAGTACATTATTACTGTTCAGGAAACTCTTAATTTTCATACTGATAAAGATATCAACTTAGAAAAATAAGTCAAATCCTTTTGTCTGAATGACAATTGCAAATCTGTGTTGTGACTACAGCTGAGTAAAGCTCAATTACTTTAATAAATGTATTCCCAATTTCATCTCATTTACATTTGCATTTTAATGAATGATTCTCACCTACTTGTCAAATAGGCAGCCCTGCTAAATTCATTGTTATTGTATAAATTGGGTATTGTGAAGCTAGAATTTAAACGGAGAAACAGTTGGTGTCCTATTCCAGCATTACACTGTAAATCTAAAGTGTAAAAAAGCACATTGGTCACCTCTGTATTTGCCTTTATTTTACTGTTCTCCTGACGAGAGTCCATGAAGCTTTAGAATCATTCGTATATACCACAGAAATAATTCTATGGAATTTTGAGAGGATTTTTTTGTTTAAATCAGGTGGATATCACAGCTTTTCTCTTTTTTCTTTTTTTTTTTTATGCATTTCTGTTAATTCTATTTTATTTCTTTTTCCATACTTGGAGACTGTAGAGCTATTTTTGTCATACCCGGGACTTGAAGGAAACCACGGACTAAAAATGTTTATTCACAAATGTGCATAATATTTCCTATTCCTATGGGTATATGAGAGTGATCATTGATTTGGTATTAGTCTTCTGTATTAGATAAACCTTTAAAAATATGCTGATTGCACTTGCCATTTATGCATTTTTCTCCAGTAATACTGGTTATGGTTGTTAGTGTAAAAGAACTTCCTTGTTGATAATTATCTTTCTCTACCACTTGTCTTTGGTACATGTACTAACCTCACAGTTCACTATTTGTGGCATTGTAACACACAGCTAGAGCATGGGTTCTGATCTTTAAGAAGGATTGCTTACATCAGTGTGTGCAGAAATGTAGGAAAAGCACTGTGAAGGGGAAAAAATACTTTTACATACAAATGTGTACGTAAAATATGTGTGAGGGTGCTGAGGCCTTGGCACAGGCTGTCCAATGAAGTGGTAAATGCTCCATCCCTGGCAGTGTTCAAGGCCAGGTTGGACAAAGCCTTGGGCACCATGACCTAGTGTGAAGTGTCCCTGCCCATGGCAGGGGGGTTGGAACTGGATGATCTTAAGGTCCTTTCCAACCCAAACCATTCTATGGTTCTATATCTCGATCATTGGCAGAAGTCTGTTACGCAAAATACTGGCTTCTTATGAATAACATTAAGCCAGTCTGACACAACTCTAAAATCCATATGTTTTTTCAAAGCATGCATTATTTCTTATCAGGGACATCTTATTTTCTTATTGGGTTGGTTTGTTTTCTTTTTCCAAAGTTAATAGGGAAATAGCTAGCAGACAGGTTATCTACCTGAACTGGAAATGTGTTCAGGCTTGTATTTATAGTTGCTGGACTGAAAAATAGTATCAACAAAACCAATAACCTAAATAACCTGTCTCACTGTGCAAGTGTGTTTTCATCAAGGGAAGCAAGGAGGGAATAAACTGCTCCCCTTGAGAACTAGTGAATTCTGTGCCTGAAGTCTGCACCCTGTATGACCTTTAGGTGCTTTAATACATATCTGGTAAGAAAAGGGAGTTATTGCTTGCCAGTAAAACAAATGACGCTCAGCTTTGAAGCCTAGACTGTGTTTGAAAGAATCAATACACCTTGATGCAAAAGTCAGCAACACCTTAAAGGGATGCGTCCTGTGTCTGGATAGGATGCTCATCTGACTTGGATCAGTTTGCTAACATTTTAATCAAAGGCAGTAGAGTAATTGTGCACCATGTCCCTTTCACTGCCCTGGCAATGGTGTCTTCTTTATTTTTTAATCTTGCAGTAATACCCTGTTGTCTTCAGCTCTCAGGCTTCACTGGCACTTCCTGTCTTGCTAACAATGCAGCCTTCAGACAGCAGGTGGAACTTAGCAGCTAACAGGTAGCTTCAGGGCAGTGCTTGTCAGGCTGTGACAACTTGAGTTAAGACAGTGAGGGACCCAGTAGTCAATTGGCTGCAATCAATTAGAATTAGGCAGGGAGGTTTTAAATCAAGTGCTGGACAAGGTGATGCTGAGTTCAAGACATCCAGTAGTTTACCTGTGCAGTGCTGGCAAAGATCATGGAGAGATCTGTCAGTTCATACTGGGGAATTGTTGTCCTTTGTTATCATACTGTAGAAGGAAATACTAATGTTGAACTCCTGAATATAGAAGAATGTGAAATCTCTGTTAAATTTTAAGTTAGTGAGATAAATCAATTTGGTAGTTTGTCTTGAGCACACTGACCAACTTGTGATGAATTTTGGCAGGCATCATGTTAATTTTGTGAAGCGAGGTGGAGGCTACTTTCACATCCTTCAACAAGAATCATTGGAGAGGAAGAATGCACTGGAAGCATCCCAACAGGCTCAGACCCTGGTATGGAGAACTGACTTTGAGCCAGCCATGTACTCCCTCAATGCAGAGGGCCCACAACAATTAAAAACCACGTAAGTCAACTTGGAGCAGAGAGCTTCTGGTGGTCTGAGGGCAATGGTTTTAAAAGGTGACAGTTTCCAGCTTCTGTTGTTACTTGGTATTGAGGCAGAATATTACTACTTGTGTGAACTAGAAAGAAAAAAATACTTAAAACCTGGGTAAGTGAGCTGCTGTGGATACTTGGCAAGCATGGCAACAAAAAAATATGCTTAAAGCGCTGTTTAAAAGGAGAATAAAAAAGAACTGCATTCAGCAGAATAAGTGGCTTAGCTTGCAGAGTTGGGTTTCTTTGCGAGTTCAGACATATCACTTACTACCTCTGGTTCTCTCCATTTGATCATTAAATGGTCTTCAATCCTTTTGCTCACGCTGGCCTTTTCAGTGCACCTCTAATGCCTGTTGAACTCTGTAGTTATCTTCCATTTGTCAACCCTCAAAAAGTGGTGATTAAATAGGTGCTCAGCAGGACAGAGTAGCTCTTCCAGAGGTTACACACCTTTGGAGCCTCATTGTGCCAAAATCTCATTCACCTGCAACAGTCTTTTCCCATCAGTTTGCTACGGCTTTTGTCACTCTCAGGTGCCAGCTTCCTCTCATTCGTCTTTCTTCCATGAACTGACTCTTAACTTGGAAAACTCAGTCTCCAGAGCCATCTGAGATGCAATTCTCCCTTCTCTGCAGTTCTAATGAACAACAGAATGCCAGGACAGCAAGACTATTGTATACCCATTGAAGCATTGTATACCCACTTCTTGTCAGGGTCATAAAGTGGGACAACAGTATATAACCATTATTAAAAAACAAGAAATAAAATCTTCCCTGTTTTATGAAACCCAGACCAAAGCAAACAAGCAGCAAAGGCAGACTGAGAGGTTCTGAACAGAAGTATGTTTACTAGAGTAACATTTACTATCCAGCATTCTGAAGGGTCACTGACTGAATAGCTAGAAAAGGCGGGGAAGAAATAGAGTATTACTGAGAGATGGTGTTACGGAAGGAGAAAAGGTCTGGAGTATTAGTCAAAGTAGTTTGGACTCTTAGCCTGCAATGTCTGGATCACCTGAAACTTTCTCCTCACTTAAGCTGCCTACAGCTGTGTTACTTAAATGGCACTGTTAGTGCTTTGATCCTGGGTTAATGAGGCTGTGTGAACTTTACAGGGAAACAAAATGATTTAATTAGAGAAAAAATAAAAGTACATAAGAACCTACCTGAAAGCTCTGTAAACTCCCTATTCATTATTCTTTGTAATACATAACTGTTCCATCTACCCATAACTCAGCCAATCCACGTTTATTGCAGGCAAATACTTTATTACACATATGAAAAATGTCATTGCCTTTACTATTGTGACCATTCAGATTATTGAAGTCACTGTTTTTTGGTTGGTTTTTTTTTATGTCAGGAAAGATTTCTTTCTTCAGCAAGGCCGATCTTAAAAAGATTCAACATTCTTCTTTTTCTTTATGAAGGTATATATATATAGGTGAAGCCTAGACACAAAATACAGATCACTATCTCTAAGTAAGTCTGGGGAGACTTACTTCACTCTTAGCTTCCACAGTACTGACTTCAAAAATTAGGAACTTCATGGACTAAGAAGAGCTCTGAAGCAGTGTCAAACTGCTGGGGTGCAAAATGTCCTTTTAACAGATGAAGTCTGGCTTTGGTCTTTCACAGTGGCTGAAACTGTTGGCATGGTTTTATATGCCCGGATTCTAGTGATTCCAGCTTTTCCCACTCCCCTTCCTCTTTCTCTTGTAAGATAACAGCAAATATTAAGCTTCTACTAGGACTTTTTTACTGCTGTTACTTAAGCTGTAGTATTTGTGTTATCAATTACTTTAAATGCATCAACACTCTAAACTTGGTAACAGCTTCTTATTGTAACAGTAGAAAAGTAGAAGTAAAGTTTAGTTACCCCTCATCAGTAGGAATAAGGAACTCTGCCAAATGCTCAGTGGGTGTATGACGGAGCATTCACAACTTCCTTGGGCATCCCATTCCAGGGCCTCACCACCCTCACTATAAAGAACTTCTTCCTTATATCTAATCTAAACTTCCCCTGTTTAAGTTTGAACCCATTACCCCTTGTCCTACCACTATGTCCCTAACGAAGAGTCCAATAATGAGTGATAGTATGAGTATGTAAATACAAATAATACAATGTTTAGAATTTAAAGTCCTGTAAACTTCTTAGAAATTAATAATAATTATATATCCTGGTAAACATAAAATTTGTAGTATTTGTAAATGCAGTAATTAACCATTTAGAAATACACCTAAGTATTGTTTTTTAAATGTGAGGAGGAGGATTGTGGTGATGTGACCACAATAAACAGTTTTATTGGCTCTGTCTTCATTTCACATACTACTTTTTTAAGATCAGTCTTTGTCCATTCCCAGTCGCTCTCAAGAAGACAACTACCTTGGGATGTCAGAGAAGACAAAGATGACCTTACAGTCCTTCATTCCTGCTCAGACCAATCTCTTGATTCCAAGCTCCCCTGAAGCAAAAAGGTATATCTGAAGGCAGATTTATGTCCTGCCCTCCTTGGTGTAGGACATAAGCAAAATTCACAGCAACACAGGCCCATAATGCACATACGTACAGCTACTGTTCAGCTGGTGAATGTGTATCCTGAGAATTTCAGGAGTTCATGGTGAAATAGTCTTTCTTTACTAAAGCAACAGTTAAATTCTAACATTAAATGAGTGAATCCTAATGAGTTACTCAAAACCTTGTATATGCAGCTGTACAGAAACATGCATCATCTGCCTTGCTGATCTTGACTCAGCAAGTTGTAAGTTGTATAAGAGTTGCTGATGTGATACAGCTTTCAAGTCTAGGCTCATTTTAAGGAAAGGCTGTCAAAATTCACATTTAATTTGCCTAGTTTAAAAAAGGCCTATGGAAGTGAATGGGAGAAGATTATACTTGTACTGTGTACCCTTCAGTATATTTTACATTAGTCACTAATACACACTATCTGTTTTGTTCCAAGTTCATTAATCCAGTTTCTTACTGAAGTTTCTTTATGTATTTAGATTTGAATGTGGAATATCTAAAATGCCAAAGATAATCTTAGTTCAGAAAAAGATAGGTCCAATGTTTTAAACTCTCACACTGCTTTTTCTTAAGCGCAAAACTTAACAGCTACTGTAGAATCCAAACCCCATAAAAATCCATACCTGAAAGGGTAAATGCCAGAATCCTCACAGGTACGAAATCACTGAGCACACCTCCACGCCATCAAAAATTTCACATCCAAAAATATGTTTTTGGTTCTGTGTCAATGTTTCAAAAGTTTGAGAGGTGTCTGAAGTTCACTGGGACAATTAAAACAGGTCATCTGCTGCAGAAAGGTTCAGATGTATCTATTTCAGCCACCACCCTGCTCGTTTGACTGTTTTCCTGGTGCTATACTATAACACATTTGTTTCTCCTCTTTGCAGTGAACATCTCTTCCGACAACTGTGTGTCATACATTGGCTTTTGGAAGCTTTGACTCTTGAATCCAACAGTTCGATGCGTCCCATATCGACCTGTTGGAATCCAAAGTATGTACGCAATGCGTGAGGATAGATGGAATGAGTTTAGGATCTTTTGTACTTAATGTGTTGTTATTTCTCTTCTTTCAAGTAATAACTGTTTGAGTCAAATGGTATTAATTCTGTGTCATGCAACATAAACAAATCTTGCATTGACTTTGCCCCCCTGCAGTCAACAGGGAGTTGTACAGCAACATCAGCAGCACAGCATGGTCCTCTGTTAATGCAAGCAGCACAACTAAGAGAAAATACTGAGCTATCCCAGTACATAACAACAAATATAGTTGTGGGGTTCGTTTTTTTCCTTTTTCTCTTTTGGTTAATAACTACGCAAATTAAATACATGCAGTAATAGATGTATGTCTATTCCCTCAGCCTTTACCCAGTGAAAACAGGAATTCCATATGCATTATAATTACAGAACAAAGGCAGCTATTAAGGGCTATTTAGTAGCTGCTTTTATTCTGTCAATTATGTATGGTAGTGATGGGTACTTGTAAAAGGTGCATTGCTTGTGAAATTTCATACTGTCAAAAGTAAATATTAATTTAAGTTCCCAACATTTCTACTCATGTTGACATAACGTGTATTTAACTTATTCGTGAGCATATGGTAAAACACTGAGCTCTGAGTTGCAGGGCAGAGCTCTCCAAAGCTGTTCTGTTTTCTGTGTATATTCTCAGTCAAGACAAACCGTGTCTACATATAACAGAGGTGGAAGAGTAACATTATATAGATTTAGCCTGATAAATTGGAGGGGAGAATCAGTCCGGTATGTATTTTGGATGGATTTTTCACCGCTTTACATATGAGGACCAACAAATAGACTTGGATGAAAAAAAGCCCAGTTTGTCAGCAAGTCTCACAGATACAGGCTGAGAACCGAGTATAAACACATAAACACATAAAGCTCTGGATTCCAGGCTCTAAAGAGTGCAATCTCTTGTTGTGTACTTCCTCTGCTCCATGTTGCTGTCTCTAACCACCACTCCTCTTCTTCAATATTATTTGAACTGACCTGCATACACACATTCTCATTACAAAGTAACCATGAGGAATTACACTTACATTTAGTACATTTAGATCAAATAGTCTCTATTTGCACAAAAAGAGGAGGAGGTTTAAATGTGGTGAAGGGAGCAAGCTTAGAATGCTCATGTGCTTTGTAATACCTTTGATTAGGTGGGGACCAAATGATAAATGAGACTACCACAGGAGTGACCTTGTTATATCACAGCTGCAAGGACTGCAGCTTCCACGTTTACCTCTGTCAACATGATGGAACACTTAAACTTTTGGAACAGTATAGGTCTTCATTTAGACAAAAGCAGGAGAGACCAAACTTGCATTAACTTGCTCTCCTTTCTATTCATGAAATCCTGCTATACTGGATAAAATTCTTGAGTACTTGCATAGAGGAAGTTGAGAGCATCACCTGGCCCGGTACAGGCATATAAGAGTTTGTAGAAAACCTGTGCTTTCTTGAGGTGGTTCTTAACTGTGACTATTGACTTACTTATGGCTTATACACCTTGCATTTTCTTTCCATGTCTTATAAGCAAACATATACATCATGGTAGCAGTCAGCCACCATTCACTCTGCATTTGTTGCATTTCTTATAATAAAATGAACTTATAATAAAAGCAAGGCTTTTAAAATGGAAAACTAATAAAATTGTTTTCACCCAGGGATTGTGGTGGTTGTAAAAAAAGAGTAAAAGAAGAGGAAGAGTTAAAGTTAGCAACATACATGTGGGAGCGCTTTATTACAAAGAAAAAGGTAACTTCATTGTTAATGTCTTCCATGGGACCTAATCCAACTTTTCAAGCATTTGTTTTGTTGCTTAATTAAACTCCATGATTCCACATTTTATGCTCTGGATCTTGTGACCACAGAGGATTTCTCTCACTAGGTTTTAAAGAATAATAATTTGATACTAGGCATTAGGAAAAGCAGTATATAGATTCAAAGTGTGGCTTGTTCCTAGTGATAAGTACTGATGTGGGAAGAATTAGTTATTCAGCTAAAACATAACTAGCCTCTTGTTTGCATTTGCCCTCTTTTTAATGACCCAGAGTCATGTAACAGTTCTTGTTTCACACAAATACATCTTTTTCAGTCAAATGGGGATTTCAAACTGGTATCCTGGAAGCCTTATTCTAGCATGTTCTAGTCACGATTTGTTTGGTTACCTTTTTAAACAGAATTTAAAGCTAAATTTGGAGACAAATGCCAAATGTTAAGGCCTTTAAAGAAAGCAGGATTCACTTGCCACTTCCAAAGCAAAGCCAAGGAAAGATGAAAACAAGCAATTCAGATGAAAGCCTTTTAAAAGAAAAATAAAGTTACTACCTGAGAGGAAATTAAGTAGTATAAAACTATCTGTAACACTTGGTAACTGTTTCACTATATTTCTGAAACTGGAGAAACACTTTTCTTTTTGAAACTGCTGAAGTGACTGGTGGAAAATGAAGGGGAAGTGAGTGGTGTTTAGGAGCATAACGATAATGAACCAGTGGGTTTCTCGCTCTGAAGCACATCTTCCATTTTGGTCTGCAGCAGTTTGCCTAAACTTTTAGTTCCTTTGCCTCCTACAAGCTAAATTAAACAAGTTTTGTCAAGTACTTTTAGAATCCCAGGTGAGGCACTCTTAGAAATATGAGCTATTGTTGCATGCAGGCTATTTGCTCTTGTTATTTGTCAATACCTGCAGCTCGTACCATCATGACATAATTCAAATGATTCAATAGAAGATTACAATTTCTATTGGGGAATAAGCAACAAAAGTTGTGAAACTTTTTGAAGCTCAAGACTGTGGTTTTATGCAAATATTCTTCCTGCTGTTACCAAACAGAGAGAGAAAGTCAGCAAGTCACATAAGGAACAGAGTTGTTTCTAAATATGAGGCTATTTGATTTTTCCATATGATTGAGTTCAAATGAACATGAGCCGAATAAACCAAAGCACGTGTCAGTCTTCAAGTGCCTTTCAGCATTTCCATTTTTGAGACTTTTTTTTTCCCCTCCCTGAATTAATGACAATTTCCTTTGTGCCATTTATGCAAATGTTACTTGAAGACTGCTTTTCATATCTGATGTGAAACTTTCAATGGAAATACTGGGTTCCTTCAGGGGCACTTGCTTTATAATGCATATTGTTCTGATTATCAAGCCTGCAGAATTCAGTCTGCTTTCAGACTTAGGTTTTACATTCCTGACACAGGAAATTCATTTGCGAGGTTGTTGGGAGGAGACCTGAACATTTATCAAACCACTTTGACCTATTCCTCCCTGTACAGGAAAAGGTTGCTGTATTACCAACCCTCTCTACAGCTTCAGCGTTCCTCATTTACAAATTAGCTTAATCTGTTGTCATTAATGCTGTAGCAGAGGAGATTGAAGAAAGATAACAAAATGAAGGAGGTTCTACCCAAGAAATCACTATTTTATTTGAAGTCACTGGAGAAAAATCTGTGAGGTTACAGGAAAAACAGAAGGCTATAATATTGGAATTAGTTACAGAAATGTGATCCTTTGTTGCCAAATCACTATAGAAAACCCCTCCTTTCTATCATTTTTTTTTCTTCTATCTACAGAAATACACCTGGAAAGCAGGATACAGACTACTTAGCAGGACAGTAAACAACAAAGTTACTCCAGGTATCTCTCAGTTTAGCAGTCAGTCATCTCCCCAGGGTCAAACCCCTCAAGGCAGTGAACCTTCCACTGTACATTGCTCTGAAGACAACATCAAGATTAATGATGTGACTGAGTCAGCACAAGCTAAAGAACGACAACCTCTTTTACCCTGTAAGTTACTTTTTTTTGGCTGCAAGTATCAAATGGAATTGCTTTCAGTGTTACTGGGGAAAACCTATGTCAAAGACACTGCTACATATGTACCAGTGTATTTCTCTTCAGGCATGTGGAACTTTGTTAAGAGTCTCTTTATGCCCTTCCCATCAGCAAATTGATTTAAAGACAATATAATCCCGTATGAGTATTAAGTAAGAGTTTTAATTAATATTCAGTTACAGCAGCTGTATGATCAAACTGTCATCCACATCTATAAGACCCAACAGGCAGTGAAAACAGTGAGGCTGTTCTCTGCTATAACCAACTGATCCACTGAATATGTATCTGTCTAACGTAGGGGTTTCTTGCTCTGTATTCCTCCTACTCATCCATCAGTGATTACCTGCGATTGATAGACCTGATTATATTTTATCTGTTAGCTTTGCATTTTGTTATTTTTTATTTATTTTTATTTATTTGTTATTTTGTTACTTGTTATTTTGCATTTTGTTAGCATTTTAATATGAAGCTGGGTAATCTTCAGTCTTTTCCCTTCCTTCTAAACAAAGCTGGTCTAGAAAAACATGTTAGCATTTAGTACTGCAAATCACCTTTTAACTGATAGTTATATTATTATTATTAGGTTGACATAAGGCTCTGCTAAATTACCACTCAGGAAGGAGCTCTTGGAGCCATTTGGGATAGGTTTGAGAAGGTTCAGTAGCTACCAAAAAGGCAAGAAGAACCCTAAGAATGAAGTGGAAGACAAAGCAAAAAACATGCTATGCAAAAATACAAATGTTTTTGTATGTGCTGCTTCAGTTCTGGTCTTTCCAGTGCAGATAGGCTGGTATGAGGAGTGGAAAAGTTTGATAGGTAAAAATTGGTGAGGTCTGATAGAGATACAGAATAGCTTCCATAGAAGACCCAGTTAAGGCTAGGGCTTTGTGGTGCAGAAAAGAAACAACTGAATACAATGTTTTGACAGATCTCTAACATCATGAAGTACATGGAAGAGGTGATTGGAGAGTGGCTACTCCCAGGTTCCCTTGACACCAGGTTTATGGCACACCAAATTAAATTATCTGGTAGAAAATTGAAGGCTATGGGAAGTGTCTTCATGCAATGAAATGATTAAACTTAATAATTCGTTGCTGCAAGATATTGCTGGAAGTATATTCAGGTCCAAAAGCAATTTAAATTAATAGAAGAAAAAACAATTAATTGCTCTTAAATGTAAGGGAATAGACATTCTCTGGGTCTGAAAGACGTTTAGGTTCAGAGCACCAGAAGCTGATATATCAGGAAGCTTGCACTAATACTGTGTACTACCTCTACAGCCCGTGCTGCCTGTGGCACTGAGCACAGTTGAATGGCCTTCGATGGCATGAATGGGAGTAGTGGAGAATTCAAAGCTATAATGTCAAGCAGTTTGTTCAGAGATGTATGTGAACAATTGGGTTTTGTGTGAGAAGAGATTTGAAAACAATCTTGAGAGCTGTAACAGCTGGGACCTTCGTTTGCTGTGGGACATAAAGAAGTGTCTTATGGTAGGCATGATACACAGGTAGGATGTTCAGTGTACCCTTTGGAAAAACATCTATCACGTGATTGCTTGTGATTTCAGGGGACTGATTACTGGGACTGAGTTGCCAGGCTGGTCATCTCAAGGATTATGTTTCTAGCTCTAAAAAATGGTAGAAGTCAGTTTCCACCAGGCAGAGGTTGGAGTCTGTAATGAATTCTGAAGCTGCTAGAATCATGTTTAATCCAGGATATTGATTATAGGATGCTTTGTGGACAGATCAGAAATGGATTACAAGTACAGATGCCCTGTAGCCTTACACCCCAAATTCACAAACTTTCATGTAACTCATACAGACATCGTTTTGAGAGCATACACAACCCTAACCCACATGTACACATATATATCTATTTCAGAAGCGGGAAAGAGATTCTGTAGTAGTAATCTGGTCAGTAAATACAGCTGAGTGTGACTTTTACAGCAAGATTTCTTTTAAGGCAGGAATTCATAACCTGATATAAAGCTTTTTGTTGAACTGTAATTTAGATGCTGCTGTTTGAGCACTGCTGCTGTCTACTTATACAAATTTGATTTTCCAGTGCTGTTGGCTGAGTGAGGACCTGTACTAGGCCAAAAGTTTAAATGTTCCATCATGTTGACAGAGGTAAATGTGGAAGCTTCAGTCACTGTGGTACAACAACAGGTCACTGCTGAGGTAGTCTCATTTATCATTCAGTCTCCACCTAATCAGTCAAAGGTGTTACAAAGCAGATCAGTGTTCTAAGCTTGTTTCCTTCACCACATTTAAAAAAACCTCTCCTTTTGTGCAGATAGAGACTATATGATCTAAATGTGAGCCTAATTCTTCCTGGTTACTGTGCAATGAAGAATTTGTATATGCAGATCAGTTCAAATGATGTATATTCTTCACACTGAGAAGTGTAAAATATGAGACCTGTATCTGAGATATTAAACACTAACAGGATGGTACCCTCAAAGCTTTCTGGTCAGCAGTTTAACTTTGAATTCTTACTTAAAAACATACTTTTTAGAAAGGATATGTAAATATTAATGTAGAGGATCTTCTTTATAAAACATACCTGAATTTGGGGGGTTTATTTGGTTTTGATCAATGGCTTTTCAAATGATTTATCACTGTTAGATTCCTGCAAAACAGGTAAATTTTAGTATCCCATTTCACAGATGATTAAGGCGTAGAAATCAAGGTGAAGTGAAATTACTACGTAAGCTTTTTTCTCTTTTCTAATTGATGTCTGGCTAGGTCACAGCCATGGAGGTTAATATTTAAACAATATTATGAATATGGACAACCTTGAGTATTTGTTTTCCCAGCTTAACCAGATGGAGAATTGGAACAGGTTCTAATGCTACAAAATGAAGGGCAGAGAGGTGTTGCGCCCTCTGTTTCTGATGATCAGCCAAAAAAAAGAGCTGTATCTTTGTGGTACTAGCCCTGGTTTGCTTCCTGTCATCTGTATCCAAAATCTGCCAACAGGACTGCTTTCAAGATTGGCTTTAGACAACTGATCTTGGAGAAAACATCAAATGCAGCCACTGCTTTGCATAGCCCTCTTCCCCCGAAACACCAGTATTATTTGCAGATTATATTGGTTTCAAATATCCAACTGCTCAATCTGCCCAAATGGTTACCATAAATAGAAAGGACTGGGTTCTTCTAAGAAGGATTCTGACCCTGCTTGCCAAGAGCAGGTGAGGTTTGTGTGCAGCCTTAGCTCAGTTTGAACAGAAGCTCCCTGCCCATATTGATGTTCCAGACCTTGTAAAGATCAGCCTTTGTGTTCAAACTGCTCCTCAGGTCTAGAGCTCCAAAAGGTCCAGTGGTGCATCTGCATTCTTACAGGCTTACACTTGCAGACTAGTAAGGATCACAGTGGAGCCATCATTAGTACTAGTCAGTGCTAGAACTTAGAAGTGTCTGACTGGGACCTTGGCTCTCTTGAAACTCACCTGGCCACAGCTCATAGAGGATCTTCATTATAAACATGATCCTTTACATTTTTAGCCCATTAGCTGGTGCCCAGCAATTTCTTCCATCCATGTCTTACACTTATAAATTCACAGTGTAATGTTTAAATCTGTGCTTTTAACAAGCAGAAATTTTGTGCTGCTATTTAACAGAGTCAACATTCAGCAGTCATTTTCCATTATACTATATGTGCTGCTTCACAAAAATGTAGGAATTTAGGAATTACAACTTCAAGGTGTTGAGTGCTCAGTAAAATGTCACTTATGACCATGTAGGACGTATTGAACACCTCAGAGGACGACTTAGAATTTGACAGCTAACACTGGGATTTTTAATGACAAGTGTGGCAGCTGTTTTACAGCATGTGTGATTGGAGGGAATAACACAGAGAAGATGGCCATCTCTGCCTCTCCAGAGGTTTGGCATCAAAACATTAATGAAACAGCAGTGGGAAAGAAAACAAAGATGTCAATTTGAAGGAAACCAGTGAGTTAAATTGGCTTTTCAGGTATTCAAGGGAGAGGAGAACATAAGCATTCACTTTACAGTGGAAAGCAGAAAGAGTAGAGTGTTATTAGTGAGAGAGATCTGCTCAAAAGTGGATAATCCAGAAACTATAACCAATGAAGGGCTACTTGGGGACATGACAAAGTTTTAGTGGATGATGTTAAGAAGGCACAGAGAAGTAATTAAATACCTGTTGATGTTAAATGGATTAAATTCCATGTGACACTTAAAAGAAGTGATACAGCAGACTTAAAAAGTCAGAAGAATTCATAGTTATGCCACTAGAATGCTAACAGCACAGTACAGAAACTGAAAATAGACTGTCTGCATAGTTTGTTCAAATCCACCTGGTATTCTGATGCACTGTTTTTATAAGCATCTAGTTTAAAAAATATTTAATATCTTCTACTTGATTTTTTTTTTCCACAGCTTATGTTTTCAAGTGACTAATGAATTGGGAGCACTCATATTTGGGTACCTATCTTAAAACTTCTTCTAAAAGCTGCTTTTCTTTGAAGAAACTTTAATTTTTAGAAATAATGAATAGCAGATTTCTTTAGGATATCTCATTCAGGCCAGCATATGTGGCATCCTCTCTGCAAGGAGGAGAGGAATGCACTATTGAGCTGGCATGTTTTGGTTTCTTATCAGCCCTACAGAAATCAATCCAGATAGCACATGGAGAGGTCTCAAAAGATGTCTGTAAAGAAAAAGCTATGGTTAAGAAGACTGGACCACAACGGTACGTTACCTAATGGGTTTCTGAATGACTAGAAGCAACTCATCAGGACAGAGTTTATCCTGTTCTTCCTTTCTTTCTTTTTTGCCCCTGAACAACTGAATTCAGCGTTCAGTGCGTTCAGATGACATTCACATGTTTTGGCCCATTTTACTGCTGTGCAAGCAGTGTGTACTTTCTGGAAAGTACCACATGAATCTTGCCTTTGTATACTGAAGAAATCTTCTGCTCCAACAGCTTTATAGAAAAAGTGATGTTCTATCTTCCTCCAGTAAATTGTTTCTGTTTCAACCCTTGCATTTTTCAGTAGTGTCTCTATTACATTTCCAGCTAAGTTTACTTTAGATGTGTTGCCTCATGACTCAATCCTGTGGTGGTTTCCACAGCTGTAACATCAACTTAGCAAGCCATTCTTACAATTAGACTTTGCTGAAGCATTTTTTTCCCCTTGGTTTGAGGTGGAGAGCCCTAACTTTGTACCTGGATAGCTCCAGCAAGTCTGTAATATTAAGAATGTTTCCTCAGCACCTGTGAAGTTTTTCATTCTGGAGCAGGTATACTGTACACCACCTTAAACCTTGTTGTGTCTTACAGTTTGCCAATAGTTCAGGACTGCGGTGTAAACATGCACAAGAAGAGTCAAACACCGGGGAAGCAGTCACCCAGAAAGGAGGGGTAAGGGTACAAATCTGCTTTGAAGCATATTATAAACTCAGTGCTCTGTGTGGAAAGCATTTGGCATGCAAATGTCAGACAGAATTTTATTACGAGACGCCAGAGCAGGCCAGTGAGACCTTGCAGCACATGTGGTACACTTCAGTGCAATGCGAAGGCGCTTTCCTGGAAGGATGTGACTAGAACGAAAGACTGTAAAAATCCAAATTTAATCTAATTTTCAATTTTTTAATTCATCAGATTATTTGATAAATTCCCTGAATTAAAAAAAAAAACCAACATATAAATTGTGTTAAATTTTGATTTTTACTGAGAATAAGGATATCTCAAAATTGGTGGGCTCACATCACTGCATGTTTCAAGCAACACATGTGCTTATCACAAAATGCTTACCACAAAATGCTAATTCCATTTTTCTGGATTGTTTTGGTTGCAGCTGCCAGATCAACTCTTTCGTTAAAAGCAAATCTAACTTGTCTGCTTATATGAGGCAGAGGTTCATAGCAGTCCATGAAGAAGCAGCTTGCTGTTTACATGGTATCCTAGTGAGCCTTGAGAGGTAGGAGGAAACTGTTTTTTCTATATTCTTAAAACACTACATACCTTGCTTCTGACTAGATTTAGGACTTGTCTTCAGGCCTTTTAAAGATGCATTTATATGGATTGACATTAAAATAAGAATATAGGGATGATGTTAGAAAGTTTTATGACTGTGTACAAAAAAATATTACAGGTGAAATATTTACAGCAGTGTTTTGGGATATTTCTGAATGATATTTATGGAAATAGCTTTGCTAAAAACATTACTTTGGACATTGCAGTCCTTTACACCAAAGACAATAATAAATTCAGTCCACATACAAGCTGTATGGCTGTCTTGTGTTTTCAGTTCAGGGAGCACTGTATTGTTCAACATTACTTTGACTCTTCTCATAGGAACAGTTACAACGTCCTCTGGCAAGGCCTTTTCCCAGATCAGTGACATTTCTACCTTGTTGACCAGCCAAACCCTGTCATCCTTTTCCTTTCACCCAGAAACGTTCATCTGTGATGTTTGTGCAAATTCTTTTGTCTCAGTGAACACCAGCCCCGAGATCCTTCCCTACATTGCTATTCTGAAGAGTGTTACAGGCACACTCCTCCCCCTCACTTCCTTCTTTCCATTCTTGCATTCCATTTTGTACTTAAGATCTATTTTTTTTTTTGTCCCCAGAGCATTCCTTATCTGGAGTTGGGTCCTTGTTTTTTTCCCTGAGCAGTTGTTGTGACTGTATAATCAATCCAGCATCCCACAGTATGGAAAGACAAGTCAGATGGAAACTTACTACTTGCAGCTATTTTGCCATACTACATACAGCCAGATAAGACTATTCTGTTTGGTCAGCTTTTGGAAATGAAGCTTCGGTTTGGCAGGATATAGTATAAGTAATTTATTGGAAAGAAAAGCACATGTTTGGTTTTGTTACTTTGTTACTTTTTGGAAGAAATCATACATGAGCCCAATCTCTGGGTCAAAATTCTAGCTCAGGTCATGTCATAGAATCCCAGGATGGTTTGGGTTGGAAGGGACCTTAAAGCTCATCCAGTTCCAACCCCCTGCCACGATATCCTGGGTTCAGCTGTAGCAGTTACTTTTCTCCTTCTTAGCAGCTGGTGCACTACTGTGTTTTAGACTTTAGCCTGAGAACATCACTGATAACACACCGGTGTTTTTAGTTGTTGCTCAGTAATGCTTGCTCCGAGCAAGGACTTTTCAGTCTCATGCTCTGCCAGGGAGAAGGGGAAGCCAGGAGGAAGCAGAGGCAGGACATCTGACCCAAACTGGCCAAAGGGGTATTCCAGACCACAGCACGTCATGCCCAGTATAGAAACTGGGGGGAGTTACCCAGAAGGCCCAGATCGCTGCTCGGGTCGGGCTGGGTATTGGTTGGTGGGTGGTATCCTCTCCCCTTGTTATTTCCCTTATCATTATTATTATTGGTGTTACTAGTAGTGGTTTTGTATTATACCTTAGTCATGGGACTGTTCTTATCTCAACCTGTGGGATTCTTTCAGTTCTCCTCCCCATCCCTCTAGGAGTGGGGGGAAAAAAGGAGGGGAGTGAGTGAGCAGCTGCGTGGTTCTGAGTTACCAGCTGGGCTTAAACCATGACACATGGGCAGGGACACCTTCCACTAGAGCAGGTTGCTCCAAGCCCCTGTGTCCAACCTGGCCTTGAACACTGCCAGGAATGGGGCAGCCACAGCTTCTCTGGGCACCCTGTGCCAGCACCTCAGCACCCTCACAGGGAAGAGCTTCTGCCTAAGAGCTCATCTCAGTCTCCCCTCTGGCAGGTTAAAGCCACTGCCCTTGTCCTGGCCCTACAGGCCCTTGTCCAAAGCCCCTCTCCAGGTTTCCTGTAGCCCCTTTAGGCACTGGAGCTGCTCTAAGGTCTCCCCTTAAGGAGCCTTCTCTTCTCCAGGCTGAACCAGCTCAGCTCTCTCAGCCTGGCTCCAGAGCAGAGCTGCTCCAGCCCTCGCAGCAGCTCTGTGGCTTCCTCTAGGCTCACTCAAGCAGGTCCATGTTCCTTTTGTGTTGGGGACCCCAGAGCCACTCCACTCTGTTCCACCTCTCTTCTGTTGTTTTTTGAATAATATTTTACCCTAAATCACTGTACAGTATTCAGTTTGGTTTTAAGTAGTGGATACTTGTAGAAAGTTGAATTTCAGTTTAAATGTTTTGATTCTGAAGTTTTTTTTCTCACCTACAGCCTACAGCTGATATAAGCCATGAACACTTTCTAATATGTTTGTAGAAATATGAATGTATACAGAACACTGCAAAAGCCAAAATTGTTATTAGTGTCCACAGACTGAACATACAATGTGATCTTCATGTTCATGGTTTTCTCCCTCCTTTGATATCTTCCCAGTTAACTATGTAGAAGCATGGTAATGTTTACAACACAGCTTTAACTTTTTAAGAGTTTTTTTGTAGGAAGCAGGAAGAGCGATGTCATCGAAAATACGAGGCTATGAAACAATCAAAGAACTTCAGAAAAGAATTGGACAGAATAAGACAGCTGAGCATGAGAGCTGAGAGAGAACATGATGAAGACGAACTAAACTGGTAAGGAATCATAGAATCATAGAATGGTTTGGGTTGGAAGGGAGCTTAAAGCTCATCCAGTTCCAACCCCCTGCCACAGGCAGCGACACCTTCTGCTAGAGCAGGTTGCTCCAAGCCCCTGTGTCCAACCTGGCCTTGAACACTGCCAGGGATGGGGCAACCCTCGTTCAGATGAGATGGTCAGAGTCCCAGTGTTCTGCCTTTAGTATAGAAGAGCATTTTTCCTTTTCTTTTTTTCGTCCCTAAAGCAAAGTATCACTAGAAACCATTGAATCTGTTGCTGGAAATGCAGACTTTTCAAACTGGTAGCAGCAAAAATACAGGAGCAGATCCTGGCCTGCTCAGCAAATAGGTTAATTGGAAATGGTAAGAGAGGGGAAAACAAAGAGTTCTTCTCCAGTGATACTGGGCAAAAGGCACTCAGTGCTTGCATTCACATACCATCCCCAGTGCAGCTTTATAGAAGACTTCCTCCACCAGGAAGTATGTAAAATGCACTGTACCCCAAAGATGAGACATACTGTATAAATGTACATGTGTTAGATTCACAACTTCTTACTGAACTGAACATTCACAGTACTAAAGCTGATGGCAAAGGAGACTGACTCTAGCTGTCCATCCATGATAAAAAGCAAAACATTTCCCTGCCAGTGTTTGAACTGCACATGGATAATACTGCAACATTTACAAGGACAAACAATCTCCTAAATGCTTCCCGGTTACAGCAATTCTGCAGACTACTAGTATGCTAGGTTTGAAATTACTAGTGTTTATGTTTGGAACAATATGAGCTGTATCCAGTGATCAGCTTCCAGATCACACATTAGAAACAGCCTACCTGAATACCTCAGCAAGCTCACAGCATGTACTTTACTGCCCTGTCCATGAGAACTCCTTGGATGTGGGATTACAGAATACACAAGCTGCACTGAATGTTTTTTTTCAGCCTGCCCTCTTTTGATCTCATAGGCTAGTAAGTTTTCTGTCCTTCATCATTTGAGATAATGAGAAACAGTCCATTTCTCATCTCAGGTCCAAAATGCAGGCGGCCCAGGACATGTCAAGCAGACATCAGTCATGCATTAATGAATAAACGTAGGCCTGGCCTATCTAGCAGAATGCTGATTTTAATTGTCAAACATCTATGCTCTAGCTGTCCCCAAAATTTAAAATCTGGCATGTATATAAGTCTTGAAACTGGAGTGGATGTGGTTTTGTTTTTATACTTATGGTGCCCCTGGAAGCCATAATTTGGACAAAACTCCATGAGCATAAAGGAGACTATACTAATATGGCTTTTTACTGTTCTCCCTATACAAGAAGAGTACTGTAAGTCTGATGTTCCTTCACATGAGAATCGTGAGGAGGCTGTCTTGCTTTGACTGTGCCAGCATAGTTACTCAAGGACAGCTTTCCACGCCAGGCCTGTTCTGCAACGTGCTGTCCATGAGGGGTATGGAGTGTGAGATCTCTAAAAAGGCTGGTCAACCCCCTTGTGGAGACACAAAGTCATGCCAGAGAAACTGCTTTCACCACACCACCTGCTTCATTTACAACAGGGCTGTTCTTTCTTTTCCACACTCTTGCAAACACTGCCTTGCCAAGAAAATAGGAACACTTTACTAGTTTATGCTGTCAGTCTAGTTGTCTCTCTCATGAAGTGAGAAAACCCCAAAATAATACAAAATATGAACAGTGTGATATGAGAGTGCATTGAGCATGGCTTCCTTTCTCAAAGTATCTTAGTGCATGGATGGGTCATAAAAGGCCTGTGTGTGACATAGTTGTGGTAGCCTGGGTAATCCAGGTAGTGATAATACGGAGCTGGCTCTACAGCTACCAGCAGCATACTACTGAGTGTAGAGCTGGCCCTACTGAAGATGAGAGCCTGGGTGTTTCCTTTTTGTACTGGTTTAAAGAAGAAATTCCTCACCCCTCTCCTGCTTTCCCAGTGACATGTATCCTAAACTGGAGGGATGCAGCACTTCCTTCTGAAGTGCTGCCAAATCAGCCCTTTCCAGTGAAAACTACAGCACACCCCAGCCATGCACATTCTAGAAAGGCTTGGAACATTAGTCTCCAGGACTGTCAAAGCAGCACTGCAGAATTTACACAGAACATTAAAAGAAAAGGCAGTGTTTTCACAAGAGTTTTATTTTTATTGTAATGTGTAATTCTCCTTCTGAATCTTTATATTCAGAGTGAAATGGTGAAGACTGCATGTTACAGTGCACGTACATCAGAGAGATTTATGTCAGCACCCAGAGAAAGGAGAATGATGATAGCACAGCGAAAAGGGGTAGTAAAAAGAATCAGAAAGTGTGTCAGATCAGGAACTGACTGCACTGGAAAACCTCTAGAAACTAAACAAAATAAGTAGAGAGAAGATAAGAGGGCAAATGGAAACATTTGTTAGGATTTTATTATTTCCTTTCATACCCAACTTTGTCATCTAAAATTTAAATGGACAATGAGAAAGCATCTATTTTGGTGCCCTGCAAAGGGAATTGGTGTAGAAATCCAATAAAGTAAAGCTCTTTCACGTTATTCACATTAAAGGTCTCATCCAACCCAGACCATTCAATGATCACTCTGAATTACACTGTGTATTGCGTTCCCCAAAGAGCCATTTTTCCTGTGGAAGTTATGGAGGTGGTGAAGTGGCAGAAATGCAAGATAAAACTCAGAGTTCCTAATCAGATATGCGGTTGTTCCCATGGCTTCTCTTTTATTGCTGTTCTTTCTGCTAAAGGGCTCCTGTATTGCTTGCCAGACTCCCAGAGTTTGTGAAGAATGACCATTATATCCAGAAAATCTTAAAGAAACTGGAAAAACACAGCAAGAATCCTGACTTGAAAATTGATCCAGACACCTTTCTTAAGGTTCTGGATGATCTACGCGTGTGGGAGTTGTGTTCTCCAGAAATTGCTGCAGCTGTGGAGGTGAGACGAGTCCAGTTCTTAACAATCTGTGTGAGCAGGGTGGGGACAGCAGGTACCTGTGGGTGAAATTCATGCAGTAGAAAGTTACCAGATGAAATCATTTAGGATCTCACTAAATGAAGATGCTACTATTCACCTCTTACAAGGCACTTTGAACTGCTCAAAGGAAAGATGTTATGACAAGCATTGGATTATTAATCAGTATCATTATGTCATTGTTGCTTTATTCACCACTGCAGTAAAACTGACATCTGTCATAAATTGTTAGGACACTTGACAAGAAACATTAACTTGTTGTGCTCTGAAAAGGCCTGTCATTCCCAGTAGTTACATCCATGAGCTATTCAAGTAATATATTATGTCACTGATCCAGGAACTCTGCAGATCTTTGTTTTGCTTCAGAAACATTAAAAAGAAAATAAATCTGCTTCTCAAGATTTTAAGTTGGGCTCAATTTTTGTAGCTCTAGAAGCAAATGGTAGAAGAGAAAGGATACAAGAAAGGGAAGAGAATACATTTAGAAGGTTTATAGTATGTAGTCTAACCAGGTAACTTGCTTACAAAAAATGGCAATGATGCCACCTTGTGTTTTTTGTTCTCATCACAGTTATTTCCCCTCATCTACAGGACCAACAGAAATCTCTGAGAGGCAGGAGATTATTGTGCATCATATATAGATTGTGTGTTCTCATGCCATACAAAGGCAAAGGTACTTTGCCTTTGATCACACTGTCTATATCTTCTTGATGTTTTGTAAAAATAACTATTTTGCCTCGTGCACTGATTTGCACAACCAGGGAGGCACCCTTGCCTTAACGTTCAATAGGCAGGTCTCTCTTGCTGGCTGGTTTTAGATCTATTTCTTTGCCCTTTCCATTCTGTTCCTTTTGCATTTTGATCCCTAATATTAGTGTAATAGCAAGAGAGAAAACCACATGAGCCTAACTGAATTTCCTGTCTATTTATTTAAACGTCTTTCAAAAATAGCCACAGAGGAAGGAGGACCTTGGTGCTCCTTCAGACTGGAATAGATAAAGGAAACTCACATTTTAGGAGCAAGAGCAGCATCACTGAATGTGGCCTGGATGATACTGACAGGGATTCCAGATGAAGTTATCATTTAACTTCAAGTTGCTTTAATGTATGTACTGCAGTGGTATGTAGAACACAGCTGGAAGTCTAAAACAAAAGACTTGGAAAGATTTGGGATATGAATTGCAATGAAGATTGTAGAGTTTTCCTTTTGTTTCATTTTAGAGTATGTCCATCTCTCCAGAAAGTTACACTAAAAATATTTTGTGATACGAAGAGTTGTTTGCAGAAGCCATGACATTCTGTTGTTACAATAGTCACATTTTCCCACATACTATCTCTCTCTTACATGTATATCAAAAGCTCAGGAAAAAAAACTTTTTCTGTTTCAGTTTGTACGTGAGAGTATCGTGCAGATGCCAGAAGAGGATTTCAGCAAGTGGTTTCAGACAAAAGTAGCCCCCCATAGTACTAGAATTCCTTCACCTTCTAATTCCTCAGCGGATTAGAAGTCCTCCACCTTCTAATCAAACAGTCAGATGAGATGGTTTTCCAGCTACAACTGTCTTCAAGCAGAAAACTACTGCCTATTGAGATCTGCCTCGAGGAAGACCAGGGAAGGGGAGGTAACTTTAGGAAGTCCCACTGACAACTCTTGCACAACTGAAATTTGTCCCTCTACAGTGCTCTCTTGGCTGTAATCAAATAGAGAAAATAAAAGCTAAATACTATTGCTCCTTCCTGTATGATGTCTTGGACACTCCCTCAAATTTCAATCTCATCTAACCATGCAGGATGAAGACTGAGTTTCTAATCACCGGTCAGGTCATTTCTTCAGATATTCCTCCAGCATCTACTCAGTTGGAAAATACTGATTTCCACGTCTGAACTGCATTGTCTCTGTTTTCATTTTATCACTCCTTTATAAAAAGTATCCCAAGCACAGGGTAGTTGTAAGCTTTAAGACAATTATTTTTTTGCATTCCCTTATGCAATTCAGATGTTTTATTTTTGCATTGAGTTTATTCTGTAGCTATTCTGTGATTATGGATTAATTCTTGCATTATTAAATTCAGTATTTCAAACCCAGCCATCTTTAGATGTATTTCCCAGGTTTTCACCAGAAGATATGTTCTCCCCTGATTATCTTAGCATATGTTTGCCATTACTCTGGTGGGTAAGACATCAGAATGACACCCCTGAACTCACAGACAGTGATAAATACATGACCTACGTGAACGTGTCTGGGCTTAGCTGTGTGTTTCGTGGTGGGTCCAATTGGTGGGTGATGGAATTGGTGACCCAGAGACCTTCTAAGCTGATGATCTTAATGAGCTGATTACCTGCCTGTCAAGCTTCCAGAGGACCCATAGGGAGAAGTGCTGTTGATCCTTCAGTGCAACAATGCCAGCTTACAATCTAGGTGAGTATAGTGACCACTCGTATAGTATGTTATTAAAGGCCTTGTTTTGTCCCCTCCTTATTACCAAAAGAGAAATGTTTTTCAAGGAAAAGAGCCAAGAACACAAATTCCTTTGACTTACAGTCATCAGAGAAAAGTAAGCTCTTAAAGCCTTGTTGTGCTTCCACTTTTCTCATTTGATATGTGGTGTTGATAAGCTAGCATTTGCACAGGTAGTGTCTGTGCTTTTCTTTCCCTCCAGTGGCAAACTTCCCTCCAAAACTCTGTAGGACTGATCTCGTGCCCTGTGAAATCAGTGACAGTGCTTCTGGCAGATGAGCAGGATAAGCTCTGATCTGTGAGACTTCAACTCCACTGTTCACTGTATTCTGCCATTTCTTTTAACTTCCTTGCAGGCCTCCACGGATTTTGAGAAACCCCAATTCTGCTTTCTTTTGGGATCATTTCACCACGATCTGAGTCAAGTTTCATTGCCAGTACTCTTGTGTTACCCTGTGGCAAACAAACAGAAACCTTAATTTAGCACCTTGGGAGCTCCTGGTTGAACTGTGGTTACACAAGGTAAAACCTTCAGCTTGGTCCTTCCACTATACGGAACTGCAGATAATAAGGCTGTGAGTTTTCCTTACCTTAAAAAATGGAAACAAAGGTGCTTGTCCTCCGCTGGAGTACTTGAACCATCCTGCCAAAATCAAAACTTCACACCAGCCCAGCACAGGACCTAATTTGTCTGCCTGCATGCAAGATGAGATGATTGTGCCAAATGCTATTAGCTAATGTCTGAGCAGCTCTTTGAGCTCCCAAAGCAGGATGGCCATGCTGAATGTTAGGAGTCTCTAATGTTTTTTGTGAGATTATGAAATATCTATGTTTTCATTTGACAGTGACTCTCCTCTCTCTCCTGTTGCCACCAGGTAACAAAAGACACTCTTCCTCTAAAAAGAAAAGAGATTATCTTTTCTCCTCCTCCAACACCACCTTAATGAAAAATTTTCTGCTGCTTTTACTCTGAGTTGGGGAAGAGCTCCTCTGGAGCAAAATAGCAGCTTTTCTCTTCCTGCTTCCTGACAAACCTAGAGTGCCCTCAAGGCACTTGAGGCAAGATCCTCAACCTTACTAAAGTGTTTGTCTGCCAGTTTAAAGGACTGAAACAATACAAAGAGGTTAGAGGTCCATACCCAGATAAAAGGGGCTTTTAAAACTTTGGGACTTTTTCCCTGCAGATATCTTGGATTTTTCCAAATACTTCTGTGAACAATCTCACAATTTCCAACTCACTGCTTCAGTAGACCCTTGTAGATAGGTGCAAAGGAACCCATTGGAGACAGGTGCACCAAGAGTCCAAGCAATTTGCTAAAGGTCAACAGAGCGTGTGGTAGACCTGCTTGGATTACTGTTCTGTCCATTCTTCCTCCCATTCTGTTCTGGTCCTTTATAATTTCAGCTAAAGGGCCAGTCATTCACAATTTTCATTAGCCAAAACAAACCATGCAAGCTTGGGTGGGATTCAGACACTGAACTCGCATTGAATCTTGATCCCATTTCCTGCTGCCTGATGTATTACCAGTGTCATCCAAACCCTCCTCAGGTTACTCCTCTGTGGAACTGAAATAAGAACATTTTCCCAGGTGTCACTAGTAGCAGGGCAGAAAGTTATTGTTGCATGAGAATTGTTTGGGTATTAGGCTGACAAGCGTTACAGGAAAACTCATCAATTAAAACAGTGAGTATTGCCTCTTTGACCATCCACCCTTTCCTTCTGTTTCACAATGGTTCTGACATTGTCATCTTTACTCTCTTTTCATAGGAAAGATTTCACCATGGTAGAAAAGAAGCCAACCATCCTATTCTGTCACCAACAATACTCCCACTGTGGTTTACATTAAACATAAAAAGGAGCATCTTATAAATAGGGATTATAAAATCAACAACTCTGTCTTGCAGATAGGCTGGTAGATTGTAAATAAGTCACAGGCATCATATTCAGAAATCAGGGTACATCTTTCTAATTGTAATTTCAGCTTTATGTATCACCACTCTTCTGCTGTCTTGTATATTAATGGCACCATGCCAGCATGTTAGAGATGCAACTATATTTAGCCTCACACAATAACAGCAGCAATTATTTTTGCTGTTTTAATAAATATCACTGTTGTAGCACTGCAGAAAATAAAAACTCAGATTAACAAACCCCAGGATATTTGGGACTAGATCTAGCTCCTCCTATTAGGGTCAATGGAAAGGTTCTTTATTTACCACGTTGAGTATTAATTACTGTAAAATCAGAATTGGTTGTTATGACAAGTGTGATGGCTGATGTTGTAACCAGCAGCTCAGGCTTTTATTCAAGGCACTGAGTGTTTGTAGCCATACTTTTTGCAATGCAGCAAGCCTATACAAAGCAAATTAAAATACACTTTCCCAGTTGGAAAGCTGACCAACCACCAAAAGAAAGTAGTCAAAGAGGAAAAAAAGATAGGACAGAAAGAATGCAACTAGGAAGAATTCTCAGATGCCCAAACCTTAATTCCCTCTCTCTGGTGAGATTTCTTCTCATGTCAAAGGTGGGATGTAGGTGCATTTTGGTCTACTTTATGCTTGTGTTTTATGACAAAATTTGAAATGGAGGGAAAAGGTGAGACTGGCAACAGTCCAACATACCAGTGTCACTGTAGCATGTTTGAAGTTGTATTTGTCTATTCATCAGGGTAACAGGAAACAGAAAGGATGTTCATTCAGGAGCCCTTTCAACAGAGAGAAGCAAGGAATACTCTTTTGCTGCTATGCCAGAAGGACAGGGACATGGCAGTATTCATCCCATTGAACCAGCCACTGAGTCCCATGTTTTGAGTATGCCACCACAGCTGACTGTGACTCTCTTCCTCTTTGTAGTAAGTGGCCATTCCCACCCTAAAGTGCTGTCCTGAGGAGTAAAAGGCAGATCCTATGTTATTCTGCAGTCAAGAAGGGAAATAATGGGTGTGTTTCACTGGAAAGGAAAGAACTTGCTCTTGCACAGACCAGAGCAACCTCAAAGGTGACTCTTTCTCCAAAGGAGCTGGCATGCTATAGCTACACAAATTTCCTGCTGGCTTTAGACTGATCACTGCATCAGCCCCACACAATGCCATTATTTTCAGTGGTGTCAGTCCTGATTAACAATGTCAGTTTTCAAGATTCTGATTTCCCATTGTTGAACTAGACTTCTGCAGCGCACGTCACAGGGGCAAGATTAGACCCTAAAGTAGCGAAAGGTTGAAAGAGAAAGCCTTGTCTCTTTATTGACGTGGTTTTCTTTCTTTATTCCTGGCAAATGGCTGTCTCTTTTCTATGTGATTCATACAGCTTTTTTTTTAGGGTGGCTATATTTCAGTACATTATGCTATAAATTACACCCAACTATATATGAGGGATTTAGTCATTGTGCTATAAATTGGAGTATATTTTTAAAGGAATCCATCAAGGCTAACAGCCGGAGCATCTAATTTCTTTCTAGTGCCAGATTACTATAAGAGTCATCAAAACATTGTCTTGCACACATTGTTTATTAGAACATTTCTCAGAATATTCTAATGAATACTTGCCTTTAGGAGGCTGTTTCCTACCTATGGTTCTTTAAACCATGTTTACAAGATATGGCAGGTTGCACCTATGGGAAATACGTATTGTCTATAATGAAAATTTCGCACAAAAAGTGTGGAGGGAAGATTACAATGTCCAACTGTTCCCATTTGTTATAGGATAAAAGGAAGAACTGTGACCCACATAATTTAAGTGGCTGAGATAAGAATGACAAAAAAGCAAGCTTTGACTCTTGGAGAAAAAAACCAGACTTGATTACTGCAGGCTTGTAAAACGAATCTAGGACATAAGCAAGGACTGAATATTGTTCAACTCTTTTAAAAGCCCTCTCCAAATTCCACAAGAGAATGACCAGGTTTTCTCATGTATAACATGTAAAAAGAAGACACTGGAAATACTAAATAAAATGATCAGTATAGAAACTCTGCAGGGATGAGCAATGGGCAATCA